GAGTCAGTGTCTCTGGTACTCAGGATAATCCACTGACCTAGCTGTCAACAGTTTTATGAGGGCTATTTCCTTTTTAGAAAGCAGTTACAATGAAAACTTTGACTTTGAGGTCTGTGGATTATCCAGAATAACAGGGACTGTTGATGCTGCTCCAAATGTCACCCCCCAATGTCATTTATCAGAGCTGTGAACACCACAAATTAAATTACATTTATGTCCATTTTAATGCAGCAGAAATCTCAGAGACCAATATCCCAAATGAAAAATCTGCGCAAATAAAAACAAAACTGTGTTTATTCTATCTATTTATTTATATGTTTTCATCTCTGCTTGCAACTGAATTGGCGGACAATCACACATTCACTTGAAATAAACAAATACCTTACAGTCTTGCTCTCTGTTGTTTCTGGTTTTCTAGTTTTTATATTTTATATTTGATATAAATGTTTTCATCTCTCTCTCTCTCTTTCTCTCTCTCTCTCTCTCTCTCTCTCTCTCTCTCCTATGGTTTTGTTTTGTAGTGTCTGGTTGTTGTTTGTTTGTTGTCAGCTGTAAATTAAAGTCAAATAAACTTTAATATATACAAAATTAAATAAGCAAAAATATTATTTTGCAGCAGCATCCAACTGATGTAATGTCTGTCTATCTATCTATCTATCTATCTATCTATCTATCTATCTATCTATCTATCTATCTATCTATCTATCTATCTATCTATCTATCTATTGATTGTGCACATGATATCAAATAAATCAATGTCTTCGTACTTCTTTAAGCCCTTCTTTTAATTAGCGTCTACTGATTGAAATAATGTTTCTTTTGTTATTTGAGTGGCAGAAATCAGACATCACTGTGGAGCAAATGCACATTATGGAGGATGGCAACTGAGAATTACAACAGATGTCAGATGTCTCTGGCTTCTTTAAGTCCAACACTATTTGTAGTGTTAAATGGTTTCTGTACAGTATTATTACAGTATTTTACAGTAGCATTGTGTTTACATTTATAGTATTGCTAGGCCAACAGTTCCTCAGTTACAGTTTAGTTCCATTTATTTTAAACAAATACAGTATATAACTGTAATCACATACTCAAGAGACAACGCTGTGCCACGAGGACACCGCAGACGAGACATAAAAGGAACAAGCTCAGATACACTGATTGAGGAGGAGCTGCAGTGCTGGAAAACCAGAATACGCCATGTCTTGTTTGATGCTTTGGATTTGTTGCCTCATCCACCACTACTTTGTTTGGGGAGTTGGGGATTTGTGGTCAGGGATTACAGCAGGCCACAAAGGCAGCTTCTGAAGCAGGCGATAACAGCAGACAGCACAACAGTTGCTCTGACTGAGAGGAGAGGCCAGCAATGGGGTCCCAAACATGCAAATCTGTCCAATGACTAAGACAGAAATGTAGGCACAGGATGTGCCAGCTTTGGTAGGACAAGAGGGTACTCATGCATTATTTTCATTTCTTTGAATAATTGTTAATAAGCATGCTATTTGCTTTTTATTAAGTGGTTGAATCTCATTAGTGTTTGAGATTCCCTCCTCAATCCACATTCAACAGAATTACCTGCAGACTGTGGACTTAATTTACAAGTGGTGGTCTATTTAGTCCCTTTTACAATATTCCTTCACCCTGAGTGTCTTCCCCTTGGACAGGATGGAGTTTGTGAAAAGGAGCAAAAGAAAACAAAGGAGGGAAAAAACAAATTGCTTCAGGAGAGGATTTTTCTCTGCATAAAATAATTTGTTTGCAGATCCTTGAGTAGTGTAATGGATTTTCAGTTTCATACAGAACATAATGTCCCTTACCCAGTGGCAATGGGAAGGTGGAGCTGTGCCCTTCTGTTTGAGTAAGATAATTCAGCAGGCTAATACAAAGGCAAAGACAACTGTGTCTTCTTTTACTACAGATGTAGTTCATCTGGAGCCGGGCCAAAGCTACACACAGAGGACCGCATGCGCTGAATGTAGCTGCAAATACATTTCTGATAAAGTATGAAAAAACAAAAGTCTGACTCAGCTGAACTGAGGCAGAACAAGTACTTGTAAATGACTGATACATAAACACACACACACACACCCACACACACCCACACACCCACACACACACACACCCACACACACACACACACACACACAAGTGAGATACAACGCTGGGAATACTGCAGGTTTGGTTTAGGGGGATGTTGAACTACACAAGGTCATGGTAAACATAGACATCCACCTGAAAGTTAGCAGTGGTGTAAAGTAGAGACATATTCAACTATATTTCACAGGTACTTTACAAATAGTAATTTAAACAAATTATTATGTTAATATGATAAATTAATAATAAAAAAAGGTCAAACATTTCATGGTTCCAGATTGTCAAATGTGAGGATTTTGCTGCTTTTCCTTGTGTTAAACTGAATCAACTGTGCGTTTGAACCATCAGGCTGACAAGACAAGAATGTATTTTAGACATACCAAACAATTAATTAAAAATCACCATAATAATCAATAAGTTTAATTATCATTAAGTAAGAGCCCTATATAATTCAGTTAGCTGCACTTCAACCAACTACAATAGTAAATGTTTCTTACACATTAATGCATCAGAGAGATTATTCTAATGATATGATATATAACACTCACAGGGGCCAGTACTTTATACTTCAACTACATGTTGCTAGTAATACATCATTTATACATACTACATACATAATAAATACCTGAGATTTTTCTGCAGTGGGATATTGTTACTTCCTCCACTGCTGTTCCCATGGAGTTCTAATTGCAATTAAATGCAGACAGTCGGTTGACTTTGGGAGATTAGGTAATTACTGTAAAATCAGAGCATAATGTGTGAAATATTTTTCTTTGTTATTTCAGTGATTTTGGGTGTTTGACATTGCACATAATCACTGAGAATCACCGAGAAACATCAGAAAAAGAGAAAGAGAGGGTTTAATGGCCCTCTGAGAGCTTGGAAACTAACAGGTTGTAAAAACTTTTTTAAAAGCATATTTTGACACAGTTCAGTGGTTTAGCAGTTTCACCAGTGCTGAGACTGATAGCGAGCTTTGAGTGGCTGCAGAGGTGTTGATTGGTGGTGTAGATGACTACGGATCTGTTCAGTGTTGAGTGCTATACTGGATGTGTGCTGCTTTTAGAGCATTTATCAATAAGCCACTGGCAATACTTTTTACATTCCCTGCTGTGTCAAGTTTTATTTCACAGTTGAATTGTCATATGTTTCCTGTAACATGTCTTTACCACATTTGGTGCTGACACTGAATTTAAGGATAAGTCTAGTGTCAAACAATATATTTTTTCTTATTAGCAATAAATCCCACAAAAAAAGACCTAAACCAGCTCAGCTCTCAGCTCTTTTTCACTTCCCTACCGTGTCTGTGGCAGGATAGGGAAGTCAGCAAATGTTACCGGAGTAAAGGTGTATTTGTTGGGGAATATTTTCATTTGCAGATTAATACACATTTGGTGCTCTACCGCAATGGTTCCCAACATGGGGGTCCAGAGTAAAAATTTCATGGGGGGGTCACAAGGTCTTCTTGATTTTAAGGGGTGTGAGACCACTTTTTGAAAAAGATATACTGTATAGGTCTACAGTATAAACACTTCATTCATTTCTGTGGAGAAACCTAAATGAAATTGTTATTAGATTATTATTTAAGATATAAATCTTACTGGATAAGGGCAAAATGAAGACTTGAATACATATATTCAAAAAGACCGCACTCTCTGCTGAATAGCCTCATCCTGCATTAGAACATTTAAATCAACCAAAGAGCTAATAGCAGTTTATCAGTTGTTTTATTCTGTTATTGTTGTACATTGACTATAATATGAAATATCAATAAAATATGTTACTTAGTCAGGGGTCATCAGTTTACTCAACTGTAGAAAAGGTATCCCTTCAGGAAATAGGTTACTCTAGTGCTCTAGTGAGGAGGACAGTGTGTGGGACTCACCCATGCAGTGCTCGTGATCACAGTAATAAAGCACTGTTTTCAGTAGTTTTTAGAAAGCAATTGAGCTCTGTTTTTGTTTTTTGCATTGGATTTGTTGACAATAACAAATGTACATATCACCAGACTTTACAGTTTTATAGGTAACACAATTATTCAGTAAAAAAAAGGATAATTTACCTTAAACGGTCTGTCCACTACACTCACCAGCCTCTGACCTCCCACTTTCATACATCTCTGTCACTTTAAGAAACTAGATGCTAGGTTTCAAAATCTTTCATGTGGAAAATCAAAACGGGAATAATGTCTGTCGCAGGAATCGCTGCAAGGTGTGAGGTAGCTCTGCAACAGTGATATCTGAGACCTCGCTCAAATACACAAATGCAAAGTTTTTCTGCCATTGATCAACTTCCTCTGAAGCAAAAATGGAGCATAAATCTATCATAGGCCGATCAGATGAGAACATGTCAGCGCAGGTGGATCTTCAACAATCATCTGAGCATTGAAGGAAAAGCTCATTCTACCTGATCTTACTTGATCTTTTTTCTCCTGGTTCAGAGGAGAACTGAAGTGTTCACCCTTGCAGAAACATATAGGATCCAATTATAATAATTATGCCGTTCCGGGCAATTTACCCACTTTCTCTTCATAAAGGTTTGAATGCTGCAGCCATGTATAGGAAGAGAAGACATGTAATCTTTTATAGAATTATAAAAGAGACCCTGTCTTTGGATTTTAGACACCTTGAACGGGTTGCTTCCCCATTAAAGGTGGTATCTCCGAGTTGAGTAATAAATCACAAATTGTTGTAGGAATGTACAACAATACCATAACTGTAGTACTATGTTTAAGGTGATATTGTGTTTGTGTTTGTGAGTGTGTGTGTGTAGAGGTGTAGGGCTTGATGATAATGGTGGGTGGGGGGTGGGCATGCAGCATCAGCATCAGCGCCCATGACGTCAGCAGAGTTTAAAGTGGGCCGCGCTTCACCCAGTGAAGTAGAGGAGAGAGAAGAGGGAGGAAGCAGCGGTGGTTCCTCTCACAACACCTGACTTCTGCGCTCCGCTGTGCGTTGAAAACATGCCGGTGTGAACTCCCAGAAACTACCTGCTCTAACCTACCTGCAACTGTTTTGAGTTTTCTCGCTGATCCAAAGATGGAAGACCGTGTTGCGCCGTGGACCCGCTGATTTCTGTTTCACTGAGGGCGAAAACTTCTCAAATCTCCTGAAGGGTGAGTTCAAATGCATTTTCCCGAAAACCGAAGGAAGAGAAAAAAAAAAAAGCGGGGTGTTTGATTGATTCGGAAGAGGATGCAAATGATACTGCTGCAGGCATGTCAACAACCATCGACAATATGTGTGGTGATTAACAGCTCTGCAGATGTTTGTTAGAAGAGATAAATTGCTTTTTTGTTGTATTTTTGTTTGTGTTGTTGAAGCGGCCCGCAGTAACTTGGGGCGCAGTCTGCTGGCATTTAGAAAGCGCTGCTGTTGGCTGCTTGATGTGACAAATTGTGCTTTCTATTTAATTAGGCTATTGGCGAGTCTATCCCATGGAAATGTGCGTGCTGTGCCAAAGAAAAGGGCTGTATCATTCCGGAGAGTTTTATAATCCACTGCAGCCATGTATTGTTTTTTTTTTAACATGCCTCGTAGCTTGCATGATCAGCCAGGGAAACTATTAGTTTAAAGACATTTTAAAGCGTTTTGTATTGCAGTGAATGCTAATGATGTAGAAGTGTGTTACAGGATGCATAAGCAGTTGCTTTGAAGTGCTTCAATACAAGTTTACACTGGTGAGTCTAGCTGATCATCTTTCATTTCTTTGTTCATCTCCATGTTAAAATGTTACATTTTAAGATTAACATTGCTTTAAGTGACGCTTCAATGTCACATGGTCTTTCTCAGTCTAAGATCAATTTCTCGATGAGGATTTTAAGATGATTTTGTGTCCTTCAAAGTCAAGGATGAGGAGTGAATCCAGCAGCTGCGAGGAACGATTTGATTCTGTCTAGAATGAACATCCCATGCAGTAGCCTATGTTATATCATTTTCGAGCCACTAGATGACAACAGAGTGCAAGCTAAAGCAGCTGATTAAACTTGCATTAGTCTATTAGTCAATGAGCAGATCTGCACCATGGTTTAATAATGGAATCATTACTGCTGTTGATTTCCTTTGTGCAAAACTAAACAGACCAAGAAGCCTTTTTGCAAAATCAATGATTTTTTATCAAATCAGTGGCAGATACATTAGGTGAGCACACACACAGGCTCTCTCTCTCTCTCTCTCTCTCTCTCTCTCTCTCTCTCTCTCTCTCTCTCTCTCTCTCTCACACACACACACACACACACACACACACACGCACACACACACACTGTCATTTGAAATAACCAGACCCTACAGTAGCTGCTGTTGTTTCGCCCTGTTGGAGCTGCATACGTTGTAGCCCACGCTGTGTATCGGTTCTCCGCATTACAGCAATTTGTCATACAGTCATTTATCATAAATGTACCTTGGCACTACAACAATACAGGTTTTCTTTTGACCCTGAGACTGACACTTTGTCTATACTAAGAGCATGTTTTCGAAAATGGAGATTTTCTTGTTGTTTGATGATTGTATTTTTCTACTTCTTGTTTTTTGGGGGATATATAATGGCTACACATTTACAGGCTTCAATCACTTCCCAGTTTTAACATCCTTCATTCTTTTCCACCTCATAACTACAGAAACACAGCACATGCACATGCACGTGCACGTGCACAAATAAATAATTCATCATCATGCAAACACACATTTTTAACTTACAATTACTGTTTGCTTTTGTATTAAAAAGTTAGATGATGATAGTTTCAAAGTCATAACTACTTCTAATCGACTGAAGCAACAAAGCCAGTTGGTATTTTTGGACCATCTTACCCAGAATAAGAGAAAATGAGGATTAGCATCTCTAATGTTTTTATTTTCTTGTGTTTGTGACTTCCATGTCATTGTAATTTAGGCTGGCAAACAAGTTGACTAAATCCACATATTAATTTTTTATATTTTGTTGCTGTCCTGTGAAAATTATATTTCCAAAATGTCAACTTTCCTTGAGCATAAACATTGTTTTCTGCTTCGTGATCATGCATGTTACAGCTTAAATTGTTTGTTTAGCTTATTAAGGAGTAGGATCATTTTCTTAGTTAGGTTTATCTGATACATTTGAAATAACCAGATCTGGAGATGCATGGTCTTTTCCTTCAGCATTATCTGGCCAATGAGTTTAGGATGTCATTTCATCAAATTATAATGCACATTTATTCAGATTTTTATTTTTTATTCAAAAATATTTTTAAAAATTAATATATAGTCATTTTTTATTGGACCTCAGTCTGCCTGGTGTGCACTTATGTACAAATATTGTAACATGTTCAGTGAGCTTTAAAGTTATTTTCCCCTCTAATAAAGTGGCCATTAATTAAAGCTTGTGATCTGTAGGTTGTTGTTGTATACCATCTGGTGGTTCTCCAGCGTTAGGGTTGGTTCAAGCTGTGATTTCATGCAACTTTTTTCCAGCAATGAGAGGTCATGCTGCCAGAAAACAAATTGATACTCAGTTCAGCTTCAGTGACTTCAGCTCTCAGAAGAGCCAAGGACGGCATTTGCCACAGAGACGCCATGAATTCTGACGTTATTTAATGAGAAGTGAGCAGAGACATCTTTGTCTCATTTTCGGAGCTCTTCTAAAGCGGCGGATCCCTCAAGGGCACACAAGTGGCTTGTGCATTTGGTAGTTTTTTTGTTATGTGCACTTTACAGTCTAGTAAACCCTTTCAACTGGAAATCCTGATGTTTGGCTCAATCAATACATTTAATTAGTGCTGATTAATGAAGGAGCATGGCTGTGGAAGGCTGACAGCTTTCTCACTTCACAAGGACGCGTTCTATTGGCAAGCAGGGAGAAATTGCTTTTCATGGCAGGAATTAGATTTTTGTAGTAATACCAATTCGTAATGTAGATTAAACAATAAAAGAATATATTAGATATTGTGTTAGTGCAATTTACATTTCTGTTTGATTTAGAGGACACTATTTCATTCTTTCATTATTCAATATGCACACTTGATAAGCTGCTGGTTTGGACCCATGCAAGCTCAATCATTTCCTAATCACATGTGAATTAAAAGATTTGCAAACACCCATCAGCACATTTGCTGAGAAACAGTTTTCCCCCCACAGGCCAGATGTGTTGTTGGCAGTGTGAACAGTCTCCAGCAGCGTATCAGGGTGTGCAGTACATACAGTATGCTGTAGGATAATGAGTGTATTGGGTCCGGTTCAGAAGGGCAAATCATAATCGTCAGCTCAGCGTTATAAACTTGACACAGATTCTGAGAACTACATGTGAGAGCTCAGTACTGTAATATTTCAAGGCAGAGTTTCTTCTAGAGTTTGTGGTTTTGAACACTGTTCTCTGTCAAGGCCTCTCAAAAGTAACAGCTCCAATGACCTTTATTCTGCAAATTAAGCTATTTTTGCTTTGCGCTGACTGATAGATCTTATTATTTCAGCAAAAGTGCATTGAGCATTGAGTAAATACCCTGGAGCCATAGCAACTACATTAACAAAAGTTAATGAAATATATGGAGGCAGGACCTGAACTTTGCTTTACTTTTGAAAGCTGTGGCATTTACATTTTGCACGTCTGTGCAGAGGCAATGAAAATATAATACAACATAGCATACACCCACATTTTGTCTGTATAAACATATTTATGTAGCCTAAACAGCATTATCTGACAGACACTGGCTTGTTTACATCCGTTTTGTAATGCATTACCTTTTTTTTGTGCATCTGGATTGTATAGAAAAGGCATGGTTGTGAGTGTTTTGCATCACAACAAAGTTAAGTAAGTGCAAAGTGATGGTAAATTTTTAAGGCTGCAAGATTTTGTTCCTAAAAAAGCATAGCAAGCTGGCATTGAAAATAAGGAGAAATCTGCAATTTAGATTCAGCTTCAATTCTATGTTAGCTGTCCCAAAGGTCTCTCGCCATGTCTGCATCTGATTATGCTTGCTTGCATTTAATTAATAATTCGACAATGCACGGCATTGATGTCGGTCAGCCAACGCTCTGCAGGGGAATAGATTTCCTGAGCCTGATATCCAGCCACGGCCTCTTAGCGAGGGAGCAGAAACGATGAGCTCAGGCAGATTTCAGATACAGAAGCTCCAGCGTGGAGCTGCGTTAATCCCCCCTCCCTCAGGTGCAAACGCTCCTGGGGAGGAACACCACGGACTACAGCTCACCATCGATGCTTGGCCGCGCTCTGATTAATGCACTCATCAGTTCTTTTCTTGTTTGTTTTAATGACAAGCATGTCCCTTGTGGGAATCTGGTGACTTTTTGCAAATACTGCTGATGCATCTGCTTGCACCTGCCACTTTTTTCTTTCTTGTCTTGTGCAAGGACTGCTGCCATAAAGCGTGAGGCTTTTGACATGACTAGGCTGTCAGTTACAGTGCAGGGAACCACATGACACATTTTCCACCGGAGATACAGGAAATACATGAGCTGAGGAAATGAGCAGTGATAAGATCTCAGCGTGTTGGGATGTATTGTGCTTTGTTGATAAGGCTATTATTCATCATTATGGCTCAGACAGCAAAAATCCACTCTCCATCTCAGGCACATGCTTGTTACACATAGTTTACTCACTGATTTACATTTGCAGTTGAGTTGTAGCATTACTAATTACTATGGAGTTTAAAAATGATTTAATCACTTATTTATACTGTAGAGAAACCAAATCTTTTCTTTTGAGAACAGAGGTTGTTGAGCGGAAGTAGAGAATGGAAATATGGTCTTCTCCAAAAACATGCTGGAATTTAACATTTAATTGTAATTTGACAGCATCAAAAAGGTATTGAGAGGCAGTAAGAGAGTTTTAAAATGTTGCAAAAATCAGTTAAACCGGATGTGATTCGTTGTATAAAAGTCCCAAGAAATGTAGAAAATCATTCATTACTCTGATCAAAGAGTGAGGCTACTGTGAATAAATGAAAAAACATCACTCAGACATTTCCAAGCGTCCCGTTGTGTGAACCTGGCATGGGTCCTGAATGTATTGAAACTTTGCTGATTGTTTCCTTATTATCAAACAATGTTCAATCAGAAATGACATGCACTACATACAACAAAAGGAAAAAAAATCCAGTGTGTGTGGTCTGAAAGGTAGAATTAATTT